GTCTGGCACAAGCTTCCGGCATACGGTCTTCCGGCCCAGTTCTGTTCTTGGATAGCTGACTTCCTGAATGAGCGTAGAATTCGTGTCCTTACGGATGGTAGCAGTTCGCGGTTCATGTCCGTGAATACCAGCGTTCCCCAGGACTCCGTCCTATCCCTCACTCTCTTTCTGCTGCATATCAATAACTTAATTCCTCTTGTGAATATTCATTGCATGCGGGGTATATCTGATAAGCAGATGGAAACCAAGGAGAAAGGGGAGAATCTTGTCATTGACTCAATCAAGCTTTGGACCACATTTTCGAAAGGGGTTACGAGGAACTTGGTTGAGTTCAATGCCAAGAAAACTCAGGCTTGCGCTTTCACGGCAAAAACATCACCATTTCTTCCCCTTCCCTCTCTTCAGAGCATAACACTGGTGCTACAGAGCAACATTACCATGCTCGGTATGGAAGTTCGCTCAGACCTAAATCCAAAGAGCTACATCAAAATTGTGATCAAAACAGCTTCACGCAAACTCGGAGTCCTGAACAAGGTGCGGCATTTTTTCACACCCGATCAACTGTGCTTGTTGTACAAAACGCAAGTGCGGTCCTGCGTGGTATATTGCTCGCACCTCTGGGATGGCTCCACCAAGTACTTGCTCGATGCTTTGGATAGGTTACAGAGGCGCGCGATCCGCATCATAGGCGATGAGGAGGTGACTAAACACCTCGAGCCTCCTCAGTTAGGCCACGACGTGGCGTCACTGAGCGCGTTCTATCGTTTGTACCACAGCGACTGTTCTGAGGAGTTATTCTCTCTTATTCCACCTTCCACTTTCCTTCAGAGGACCACGCGCGCTATGGCCACAATTCCAACGCGTACAAAGAAATTTGGTGGCTCATTTCTTTGTCGCACTATCCGTAAAGGGAATTCTCTGCCCGCTCACGTGTTCCCTCCCTCTTACAACCTGGGATCCTTTAAAAGAGGCGTGAAGAAGCAACATGCAGGCCGGCAGGGTGAGGATGGCTGGTGTGGCAGGTAGAACTGCTGTATCAGCTATCTTCGCGTCTGGACTTCACCTTCACTTAACATCAGGTGGGGTGGTGTCATTTGTCGGACCTATCTATAAAAAAAATAGCTCAGAGCTTAGGTATTCTAATTACCAGCTTCCGTACATCAACTCTGTCTTCGAGAAAAATAAAAACAGAAATTTCTTATTATTATATGCATCCGCAAACCAACAATAGCTAGAAATGTTCTAACAAGAATTTTAGGTACTCAGAACTACCACTAACAGAACTAGTATCATCAGCGAAGCGTTAATCGAACTCCATTGACATTAATACCTCTAATATATTGACACTTTTCGGCTCAGAGTCAGACTCTGATCAGATCATCCAATCAGGATATAATCGCCTTGTCGCACTTTTTGAATAACGTCTTAGTCTTTACATGCAAATTAACAGCTTCCACGTGTGTAGTATCAACCTAGCATCTTTGTATTGATTGTACAACAGCCAAGTGCCCTACCATACCCAGGGTATCTAACGAGTCTATAAAATCTACTGTAAAGGGTTTAAAAAAATATGTTACTCAGAGAAAGGGTCATTTTGGTAAATTCGAAATGGGTAATTCGAAAAAATATAATGCCATAGCTGTTGAATTTAACTTTATCTTCTTTGCCCATTGATAGCAAACATATGAATTACCCGTTAAAATTCATTAAAGGTGAAAGTATAATTTTTTTAAGTATCATTAATTGGTTTGTACAAATAAATGTTCAAAAAACTGATGTCGTATTACATAAAACATTTAATAAAGTACCTATATAGCCACTGTTCGCAACATTATATCACGAAGTCCGCGTCTTCTATTAACAACACAGGACATAATATGAGTATTTATTACTTATATCATTATTCTAGACACTAATGTGGGTGCTGGTGAATGTGATTATGTGCGGTAAGATGAGGAGCCATCCGAGGTCGTGCCTACTTACCGCAAATGTTACTTAAACTCGTAGTCAGCCAGGTCTACCGATTTTACAGGAGATCTCCTGTTTTTCTGAAATTTCTCCTGTTCTACTGTTTTTCTATATAAATCTCCTGTTTTTCTTAGATGAGGGGGGGGGGGGTCGGAATTGAAATTACGCCTCTGCATTTACTGTTTTTTCTTGCAGCTCTTTCCATGATACATCTACTGCTTTTTTATATAACGTCTCCCGATTTTTAAAAATCGGACCTGGCAACACTGCTCTTAGTATTAGTTCATTAAGGGCCACTTGCAGTATATTTGTTAAATCTAGATTCAATTAATACTAGATTTAACCCATAATAAAAATCTGAAAACGTCAATTTGAGATTTTTGGAAGGGCTAAATGTAGTTTTAGTAAAATCGAGATTCAGCTAAATTGCTGCAATGTGCCTTAATGATAAATTGTTTGATAAGATATTCTAAAATCCTCTTAGTTTATTCCGTAATTGTCCCTCCCTATCATTGAATTTGCTGATGTGTGTAATGCTGACCTATCTCCAGAAATTCTTAATAAATTGGATCGATTTCTATACAACTGCATTCGTTATATCTTTGTCTCCCTAAATATGATCACGCTTTTGCCTTTCGGAAAAAGTAAAATTGGTTAACAATCCGCCAACGTCGAAATCTTAGTCCTTAGCAGACTATCCAATAATTAAGATTTCATATGCTCCTGGATATATGAATAATGAAATGTATAATTTATTCAAATAGGTATTTGCTTTAGTAACTAAGATTCTTTTGATGCGTATATGTACTTTAAACTTTTAATCATGTCTCAAATAATATTCCAAAACCCAATTTTATCAAATAAAAGAATATTATTATATTATGATTAAATTATAACAATATTATTATTTAATAAACCTCGCAATTCCCGGGGGAGTGAAGTAGATGTAAATAGGCAATTCGTATTCTGGTCTAAGTTCGCTTCATTCTAGCTGCACAGAATCCAGTGTACCTAAGTTTTTAACTTAACGGTCTGTCGTGGTTGAAAAAACTGTGACTAACCTTTAAATAGCATACATTAATTAGGATATAAGTATTACTTAACCAACAGAAGAGTGACGCTAACGCTAATAGAATTGGCACTTAATATAAAATATCATACCAGCTTATGTCATTATTGTACAGTGTGATTATGCAAGTTGCTTTGTATTCAGTTTGCATAGAAACTCTTAAAAGTTAACGATTTACCTTTTTTAAAAGGAACTTAACTGATTGATTTTAAAATAATTTTAGGGACATTAAGAGTAGCCGCTGGTAATTATTACTACAGTTTTTTTGTTCGAAGGTAATATAGAAAACGACATTGAAATCATAAACTTTTATTCGGTGTGAGCCAAATCGCAACAAAAAATTGAAATGTAGGCAGCCGTATATTTTACTTACAGAGAGGTAAAGATACTTACACTGAAGACGCCTTTTAGTATGACAACACGCAAACTTGAATGATAAGAAAGTAGCCCATCGAGTTAATCCGAAGGATTATAATTTTAGGTAGGTACCTATTACTGAAAATCCTGTTTACAGATGAACTTCAAATGAAGTAATAATACCTCGGGGAATATTAATTATCAGAGTGTAACATTTGACGTTGATAAATAACAATATTTTTATTAAATTATGCTTTATGTTTGAAAGTACACCTAATGGAAAGCCGCAGCTTATCCAAATGACAGAACATAAAATGAAAAAAACAGACTTGTAATGAAAGTTTTCACAAATCATCAAATGAGTTAATGATTCCATGGATAGTTTTAAAGTTGTAAATATCTTAATTATTACTAGCTCACTGACCGCGGTGTAACAGTGGCGCTATCTGTTCCAGTCTAATTATATCTCAAAAGCACGTCACCACTTGATCGACGCTAGCATAGATAGATGGCGCTAGGAGCATTTTAAAGTGCCATACAAACAATTAGATTTACTTTATAACTCAGTCGAAATCGATAACGAAAAACTGGAGTAGATAATTCAAAGTGCTTAGTACTACCTAATTAGAGAATATATCTACAGTCTGACTTCTATTATTTGCTTTTCATATGTTAGTGTTAACTTTTTTCATTCTGTATTTAAAAGTATATACATATAAAAACCTAAAATATATTTTAAATTTTTGTTACAAATGTTACCTCTCTCTCGCTCTCTTTATAAGGTAGGTACCAGAATAATAATTAGGCTGAAAATGAAAAATGAGTAAGACGCGAGTTGGCTTCATGAACAGCGGGTAGAAAGAGGTGTAAACCTCTCCACATCCTGTAGTCGAGGACTTTGTTTCTCCCTTGCCATTGCGGTATTTATAGCTCCATTAGTCTCCAGCTAGTCTCCATCTGCCATCCACTATCTGTCTGGGGACGTTAATACATATACCTAAGCAGTCTCCTCCCATCCAGTTGCAACACAATAACCTACTAATGTTATACCTGTAGATCCCATAGTATCCTGTACACAGGCTGGGGGTAGTCTTTGACTGTATCAGTCAGCATGATGTAGTCAACTAGTCAGGGATTTGATCCAGCGTATACCGCATCAGATATAGAGCAATGTCACTTAAAATGGCCTCTACGTGTTGGATTTTATATACTCACACAACCACTAAAGGACCGGGTCTCTTCCAACCCGAGAACCTAAAGTATACAAAAATAATAATCTTATAATGTTGTCACAAGGGCGGCAAATTATGGTTCCGCCCCGGGTCCGGCCCATGAGCCACTGATTTTTCATATTTTCCTATCAATTCAAATTTATGACGATATATTTTATTAATCAGAAATCCAAATATATTAATTTACCCAAAAAAAAAAACTTTGACATCATAAATTAAACATTTTTCAGTAGATTGGGTTAAGTTTGTTTATAGTGTTAAAAATAACTGCAAAAACGTGTATTCTTTATATTTTTAAATTTTCTTAGACCTTTAACACAATTCCTAGTAAGTGGTTACATTCAAATTAGTTAAAAATACTTAAATAAACAAATATGTGGGAAATTAACAGTCTCGACTTAACTAAGAAAATGAAAGCTCGTAGGTAAAACAAATCGATATAGAAAACTGTTTGCGGTTTCAAATGAGATTTAGTTACACCTCCTTTATAATGAATAAGTAAATTCCCTGCACAAGCACAAGAAAGGGTAAATAATTCACAGTAACTTGACATAACTCGGGGGCCCGTCGAGTGCGTGAAAGCTCAAATAGATTTATTTCATCTTTTATGTACGATTCGTAATTTTCTTTACGAAACAGTTAAAAGTAAATAATAAATAACACAACTTGGAGATGTTGTATATCTATCGGTGAGGAAGGTTCCAGGTCTCCACGGGATAGGGGATTGAGTCGGTGTAGATAACGATGCGAGTGATATTTTTCGTAAAGCAAGCATTTACAAGGCCGGTGGTGTCCGCTCACCATCAGACGGGCCTTTTTTTTATAGTTAGGTCCGACAATGCTAGTTTGCTACCCTTTTAACATACAATAATGTTTAAAATACTAAAGTATTGTCTAGTAAAATCCTATAAACCGCATTACAAAAATGCATTTAATTAATTACACTTACTGACTTCATTTAGGTACTTAAAGAAATTTGATGCACAATAACTTAGAATCAAAACAAATCCTGCTAATAATTTTGAAGAGATGTGTGATACTAAATTAATACTAAGTATAAAGTACTAAGTATTATGAAATAAAAATATTTATTTTTTACTTATTAATCATTCTATTACACACACGTTGTATTACGATACAGATATCATGCAAGAGGAAAACTTTAGGAAATTTTGCATTATTACAGAGACGATAATCTACTTATTTAAGGAGTAGTAAATAAAAGAAGTACATTACCATAGCGTCAACTTCAAATCTGAGCTTTAAAAGTACCAATCAACCCTATAAATTACCTACTTCTTGTTAAAAACTTTATCAAGAAGTGGCATCACTTTTTATTTTTGTTTTTCATTCGACCTTCATTAAGAATGTTATTTTTAGTGATCTATTTTAACTGCCTTTATTAGTCAAACTGTTACTCGTATGTGTTCTATTTTTAGTATGACAAAAAAAGGTTGAGTTCGTTTGTCGCCTATTAATGTAATATTTCTTGTCCACAGCCACGGCGAAGACTTGATCGTGACGCCATTCGCGCAGGTCCTGGCCAGCTTACGCAGTGTACGGAACAACTTCCTCAGCCTGACCAACGTGCCAGTAGCCAAGTAAGTCAACCTTCATATTTTAGAAAGATAAGTTTATAAAATGAGAAGCTCGATGGTGTTAGTGATAACTTTAGCAACAATTTGACAAGTTTTTTAAAACGTTCATACGTTATTTTTATTAGTGTATAGTGACTCCATAAAAAGGATATATATAATAGGCTAGTTGACCCTTTTTGGAAAAAGGTTTTAAATGGTTAATAAATGTTCTATTAGCCCGAAAAAAAATGTATTGTATTTTTTTTAAACCTAGAAAGCTACAAATCTTTAATTTTAAAATAGACTTTTCATGGACATACAAAAACGCTGTCGGCCATTTTAGTCTATAGATTGTCTATGCTATGACGTGAACTGTGGTAAACAAAAACTCGTAAACACGTAGAAAATTACTTTTAACTGAGTTTATAATAAAAAAAAACATGATTTCTAATAAATACCACGAAAAATAAATTAATTATCTTTACTGTATTGTACGAGAATATAAAAACACATCCTTGAAGACTCCAGGAAAGTTGTGGATTAAAGTGCCGAAAGAAATTAACCTACGCAACTTTATTACACTTATTCATATGTTGTATCAGTTTTAAGTTTATTACTAAATGCACTGTACTTACATAGATGCCTTGTCGTTTCTCTGCTCCGCAGAGCAGAAATCGGGGTTTAGTGCAACAAATTCACCAACCATCAATGCGTCAATTCTTGGCAGATTTGTGATTTCTGCTTTCACAAAGCCGGCATCCATAATTTGTTTAGTCAAAAAAAAACTAAGTTTACTGTTTTTTTCTTTCCTAAAGTTAAAAGTGTTTTATGATAAATTAAGTCAGACGAAAGAATCCACCTACAGTAACACGCGAATGACATTTAGTTGTTTACCACAAGAGACGCCAAAATCATGGCGAATGTGGCGAACAGCGTTTTTAGTGTTTAAAAAATATAGACTAAAAAATATTTTTTAAAATTAAATTTCTACAGCAATCTTCTGCTTTTATGAAGTGAAATCGATATATTAAGGTTCCTTAGACTAAACACTTTAAGAAATAAACATTTATTTAAAACAATTCGACATGAGTAAACTAGCCTATTCTATTGCGTCTATCAGTAAAAACGAAAATAAAAATTGTTTCCAAATATGTTGCGGAAACGTTTTTCTAGCAAATATGACGTCTTCGGGTTGACACGGCTCTCATTAAAACGTCAAACAGTAGAAAGTAATGGCACTTCGACAACATGTTTACAAGCAGGTAACGTCATTTTAGGCTCCGCCAATCCTAGACTAATCCTAGATCAATGACATCCCAAATTGTTTCCGCTTTTGTCAAATTTACATGTTTGCTAATGACTTAAAGTTCCTTAGGATAATTAAGACTTACGAGGATTCTCGTCTTTTACAAAGCGACTTAAGTAGACTCGAAAAATGGTGTAACAAGAAAAGTATGATTTTAAACACAAATAAATACTATCACGTTAAATTCACAAGGAACCACAAAATCATAAATGCTGATTATGTATTTTCTTAATAACAGAGTAGAAGAAGTCAATACATATAAGAATCTAGATAGAATCATTTATGATAAGAAGTTAACTTTTTCCGTCAACAAAAATGTTAGGGTTTGTTTTAGAAATTGTAAGTCGTTTAGTAGCATCGAAACCAAAATATTACTATATTATAACAGCATAGTCCGTAGTATCTTGAAATATTGCAGTGTTGTGTGGAGAAATTACGCTATGTTACGCATACATTACGCCTTGAACGAATCTAATAAAGATTTCTGTGGCATTTAATTTTTTCAGTAGGCAAAGCCAAAAAAATCAAATCATTTAAGGGTAGACTGCACTTTTTCACAATTACCTCTCTGATGAAACTGAGGTCTCTAATGGATTGGATGGATTTTTAAGTAATATGTTGAGTGATAAGATTCTATATCCACAGCTGTTGAACCTATCACGCCACTCTGCCCGCCCGTAAGAAGAACTTATTGCGAGATTCTGAAAAAAATTGGGAACTTCTTTAATGATCAAGTTGATATACACTTTGATAAATAAATGAATGAAGTCCCAGTGTACTAACTTCAACCATTAGTAGAAACATGACGGACTGAGAGAATAAAATCCTTTGTTTTTGTAGTGAAAGTTGTTTTCAAATAAAATATCATCATATAAATAATATCAAATAAATATATAATAATAACATTGCATTTATTTAGTGATACACAAAATGATTACAAAGGGTTCCACAAAACCAACTATTTGGTTTGTCTGTGGAGAGTAATCACACTTGAATATAGTAATAATAACATTAGAAACGTTATAACTATAATTAAATATATTGTGTAGATATCAGCATATATTACTGGCAATGTATGGAATGCCGAATGCGCAGTCGGCAATGTGTGTCAAACAAGATAGCGCTTCGACCTTTACTTGTTGTATTTATCTTTTATATATCAGGTGGCTGGCGCTTCGCCGGCCGCTGCCGCGGCACGTTCGCTTTCGTTCGTTTGTTCCTTCGTTGGCTCGCTCGCTCGGTTCGCGCTAAGTTTCACTAACTTAACCTAAACCACTGTAAGTTGGTCAAACGTTCATCGGTCTGTAATTCATTCGGTGAGAATTATAAAATCCGTCCGTCGTTTTATATTCATCTATGATGTTCCTATAAGTAATATAATAATAGGTAAAATTGTTACATTAATATAAGTATCTTCGTGTCTGTAATTGTACTTGCTTAAGTGTTGCAAGTGTTGGTTAACCTACTAAATAAATAAATAGACATTTTCGGTCACGTAACAATAGATCAAAAAATACTTTTTCCATTTCATGTTTTTTAGATATAGTATTATGAACTACTTTTTGTCAGAATAGTGAAATCGCTCCCAATATTCATGTTAAATACACACCACAATAATTGGTACTTTATTTTTCATACTGTCAAAAAATTTTGTCTTTCATCAGATGGATGACCAAAATTTTATAATCTCCTCCGTTCTTCGGAAGGCGCGTTAGACCGTTGGTCGCGACTGCATCTGCACCCAACAATCCCCACTAGGTAATGGGTCATAGCCACTTCTTCCAATTTCATATATAGCCTACGCCTTAAAACCTGTGCTCCAGCAATGGTAACATTAAACGTTGGTTACGTTGGTCTCTCGTTATCGTCCACCTCAAGTACAAAATTAATACTCTTGCAATCATAAAAATATTTTTTTTAAAACAACCCTAACTTGAAACTACTTACGATAAAGGGACGCAATCAATTTGTTTCAGGTTGATTGTAAACTTTATAAAATAAAATACGGGAAATAATTCTGTGGAGTCTGCTACGCTATGGCGAATTGAGCGCCGTAGCTGCCATCTTTCCTTTACTGTCTTAAATGCTCTTGAATGAATTAATTTGAATTTACTTAAATTTAACCTTGATGGTTATAAAATAATATAGGTTAATATTATAATATTTTGAAACTGGTAAATATAACAAGTCAATAGTCTTCGGCTGACACATTTAATTTGAAACCTACGGCTATCAGATGTTTATGTTTATGAAATATTTTGATAAATGTTAAATTCAATTTGTATCGTATTTTTTATTTTACTTATTCTTAACTTTGTGTAATGTTTCTTAATACTTATAAGTGAAAACTTGTTTATAGTTGCTAAAAAAATCAACCAATTTTTTTATGAATAGCTGTAAGTTTGTCCATTAAAATAAATAAATTAACTTCGTGGAGCACAATCAACTTCCCCACAGCACGAATACAGCACAAATGTACTACAAAACAAACCTATTTTTCTGAGGTTATTTTTAGGCCAGGACAGCACTCCAGCCGGCCGATCAATCAAAAAAAGAATCATATTATTGCGATTACAATGCTTACTATAATATTAATCGATATCATAATAATTGCCCCAGTCCAGTAGCACCGACCCAATAGTGGTATACCGTGGTCCTATAAGTAGGGCAAGTCAATGAAGCTAAGGGTATTTTATCATCAAATTGTTTTAAACTTTCATAATCACTAGTATACGATGGTCCAACTATATTGTACGATGTTAATTGTAAATTAAACAAAATATATAAAGTAATGATCACCCTTTTTATGATACAGATGAATAAGTATATTGACCTGTTATCAATACTTTTCACCAAACGAAGTAGAATCAATATTAACAGAAGTAATTAAATCATCAATTAGAATTGTAGTTTTTGCATAAATATGCAATCAAATGCAAAGATCGTCCTTAACTCTATTATAACTATTTTGGTACTTTAATGATATTATTCTATACTCTAACTTTCTATGTTATCTATGTACCAAATCAGAAATTCAATACATATAATAATTAATAATATAGTTTAGAATTCTATTTATAAACCGGCTCTGATTAAAACAAACAGTTCGAGATCATTCGCAATAAATTTATACACTATGATAAGGTCCTTACATAGAGTTTGAATTCTGGACTAATTGCTATATTATCGGTTTTTGTAAAATAGTAGATTGATTGTTTACTAAGATTTCACGTTTCTTGAATTTTCCAAAGGATGAAATTTCCATGTGTTTTTATATATTTTTCGCGGGATTTTGTAGGTAAAATACTGTGTATCACAATTTAAGGATACTCTCATTCTCGCTACTCGAGCAACACACTTTTTGTAAAACCAGATAAATACAAATTTGAGTAAACAATTTTGAACGAAGGAGGAATGTATTTCGCGAATTTGTATTTTTTCACAAACTTTTTTTTTAATTTTGCGAGCGCGTGCTTACCCTGTAACATATTCATAAAATGTTTGAGATTGATCTTTATGGTGATTGGAACTTTACTAACAATAGCCACATTTAAATCTTTTTTAGTCCCTAGGGAATAAAACGCTATTTTGGTCCTCTGCAACAGAGAACAAACTACTAAGCTCTTTTAAAGATAATTACTGCTCATTCATATAAATAGTTCACGTTTTAGTATATATAGAAAAGTGAAAATACGGTAATTATGATTTTTTATAGAAT